CGTATGGCGCGTATGGCACCGTATGGCAGAAATTTGTCTGCGCACTTTTACGGCGTAAAATCTTCAAATGTGCTCCGCGGACCTCCGGCAAGCGTCTTTTTGGCGGAGTGCGGCCTAGTTTATGCTGTAAACTCCTCGACTTATACCAGTAGGCCCAGAGTGAGATCCCCCTTGGCGGTAGTAGCATGTGTATGGCGCACACGGGAGCGTATGGCGTGCATCTGTCCGCGCCAGTTTACGGCGTAAAAGTAGCTCTGGCCATCTCCATGGACGTCTGTATGCGTCTTTTGGCGGGGGGTTTGGCTGCGCATCCCGCTTTTGCGCCGTAAGAGTCTCGGGGCATATATATAGGGTCCTGCGCTACCCACAAAGTTGTTTGAATGCAATGCCTGACGTGTTGTCAGAGGCTTTCAGATTTGCGCAAGAGCAGCGTGTAGTGAGTGGGCTTTGCGTGCACGCATGGACGCGCCCGCACGCACGCGCGCACGCGCACGTCGTGATAGTCACGTGACACATATATGCGCCGGCAATCGAAATGTCCGGCGACCGGTGCGCTGGGCACGCACGCGTCGAGAGTTTGTTGACTCTGGGCGCGATTCAGGGAGAGAGAGAGATGGGCGACTTGCACGACGTTCTCACCACCTCCATCGCACCTCCAAGACTCGTGACTCGTGACTCGCGACTCACGACGGACCGTTCGCACACGCACACACCGCCACCATCATGTCCTCTTCAACCTCACACACGTACCCTCAACCGTACCTCTCCTCCGGGACATCCTCGACGGGTTTGACGTTCGATGCTAGCAAGATCAAGCTGCACAAACTGGTATGGGAAGCGCCGCACGTTTTGCGAGTCAGTTTCGATAGGAAACCAGTCAATAGCTGGATCGAGCCGTGAGTCGCGGGGCGAGGCGAGGCGAGGGAAAAGAAGAAAAGAAGTTCCGCAGCTCACACACCCTTCACCCTACGCTAGCATGTGGCGAGAATTGGCGGCCATCTTTGCACACATTCGCACGGATGCGAATGTCAATGCGGTGGTGCTGAGCGGCGAGGGCAGGTGTTTCACTGCCGGTCTGGATCGTGAGTCGGGGCTGGGGGGAGAAATGTAGTGTCACAGCAGCGGCTTGTCGCACGTGCCACGTGCCTCGCCTATCCTGACCGAGCTCGAGCTTGCATACATACAGTCTCTTCCTCTTCTCTGAGCGCCATTCTGGATCAAGAGACGGACGTAGCTCGTAGAGCGTGGCGCGTTCGTATCTGGCTGAGGGAGCTGCAAGATGCTCTGACGATGATGGAAAAGTGCGATAGACCCATCGTTGCAGCTGTGCACGATGTGGCGTACGGTCTGGCCATCGATCTGCTGTGCTGCGTCGATGTGAGGATCGCAGAGAGCAAAGCTAGATTCTCCATCAAGGTTAGTCGCGGCCGAGCGTGAGGGGTCGGCGTCGGCGTCGGCGTCGGCACGACACTCTACTTACACACCACGCTGCCGACATGTACAGGAAGTGGATGCGGGATTAGCAGCAGATGTGGGCACCTTGCAGCGTTTCCCAAAAATTGTAGGCAACGAGTCGGCAGCGAGGGAGCTAGCATTGACAGGCAGAGAGTTTGACGCTCAAGAAGCGCTACGCATCGGATTTTTGAGTCGCGTGGTGGAAGGAGGCAGAGATGGCGTGCTTGGTGAGCGAGCGAGCGAGGGAGCGAGCGCTGCACGAGCCGCGGGGGGACGCGCGGGGGGGACGCGCTGATGGCAGCCGCTGACACTCCCAGCCCCGCACGCACGCACGCACGCACGCACGCACGCACGCACGCGCACCCAGCCGCGGCCATCGCAATCGCAAAGGACATTGCATCCAAAGCGCCCATCGCTGCGCGCGGAACCAAAGATTTGCTGCTTCATGCCCGGGATCACAGGTGAGCGTGGGTGAGCGTTGGTGAGACGTTTACTTCGCATCTGGCTGACCTGACCGCCCTGCCACAGCGTCGATGATGGTCTGGCATACACGGCGGCTTGGAACGCCGCCATGCTGCAGAGCGAAGACATACCCGTCGCGGTGAGTTGCAAGAGGCGCGCATCGCATCGCATCGCATCGCTCGCTCTCTCGTCACTCATTGAACTCGCGTTCGCGCCCTTGTAGATGGCCGCCGTGCTTCAAAAGAAGAAGCCCACGTTTGAAAAGCTTTGAGAATGTGCTGGCGCGTGGTGCCCGAGACCGTACTACAGTACACCATTTCATCATCGCGCTCTGCGCGGTTAAATCGTCATGCCTTGCCAAAGTACACCGCTTCATCATGGCACATCACGCGCATCACGTGCCCTTGCTCTTCTTGCGCACATCTACCACCTCATCGCCCTCCATAGCCTTTCTCTTGTTCCTCTCCTTTTTCCCCATCCTCTTTCTGGGCCTCTCTTCGGCCTCTCTCGTCGCGCTGGATGAGTCTGCTACTGCGCCAAGTCCCCTCTGCGCATAGTCCCTGCCGTACCTCTGTTGCAGACCGCTCCTAAACTCTTTGAGTCGACGGTTGAGATCGTGAGGCTTGGCGCGTCCACGGCGGTAAGGCTGTATATGCTTCAGGCCCACTATGCCGTTCAGCTCGTTATCGTCCGCCAGCAGAATCTCCACCGCAGAAAGCCCATAGTCCGTCCTTGCCACGGGTTCGTACTTGAAGCGGGTAGGTTGATCGCCAATCTGCATGGGCGATGGCATCAATTGCGTGCTCGTCTCGTGAATTCGCATCACACCGCGCACTCACCACGTCTTCGTAATTCGCATTGTAGTACGAATCCAGCGCGCTATCCAGCTCGCGCTGCTGACCCGCCTCATCCTGGTGTGACTCTGACTCGGGCCGACGATCCGCATCCATCTCCACTTCGTCTACCTCTCCATTGGCATCCTTGGTGGCCACCCTCTTTTCCGCCGCCTTGAGCTTCTTCTTTAGCTTCTTGCGATCCTTTTTGGACATCGTCTCCCGCGTCGCTTCGTCATCCGGCTGCTCAGCTCGATGGCCGGACATGAAATCGGCATCCATTTCAATCTCTTCATCGTCAACCTCCGCTACGTGCTCCGGCAAGTCGATCTCCTCATCCCACGTGGGCTTATCTTTGCCCCCTCCAAACTGGTCATCCCGCTCGTTGTAGTACTCGTCGTCAAAAGCACGTTGCATGGCACGATCGTGAGCTGCCGAATCAAAGTCGCCCTCCAAATCGAGGTCCTCGAGATTGATGGCTGTGGTGTGGACGCGACATCAAGATCCGCGCACCCCAGATGTTGTACTCGCACCAAACCCACTCACTGCTGCTGCCAGTCACCTCCCTGAGCCTTCTCAGCCTCTCAATGACGTCGCGTTGTTTCAGCTCCGCCAATCGCTTCAAGTCGCCCATCTTTTGCCTCTTTTCTTCCTGCTTGCGCGCGTCTCTCTCTGCCCTCTGATCTTTGCGCTTGGTATCCTGTCTTCGCGCGCTGCCTTGCGGATTGCGCGCATAAGATTGGATCTGCTCGGATGCTTTGCCAGCTTCCAAGGCTTCGAAGCGAAAGTTGTACGCATTCTCGTACGCTTCCGCTCGATCATCGAACTCGTCCTCCGACGCCAAAGCGGCTGCTTCTGCCTCCCAGTCTCTGCCATCCGCAAAAGACGCTGCTTGGCTTGCATCGTCCGGATCCTCCTCTTTGATCCTAGAGGAGGAGGCTACATGCGCGCGTGGGGCAGCCTCTGGACGATCTATCCATCCGCGATTGAGAATGTAGCTGTGGGCGGGGGCGAGCATGAGCGGCACCTCCCATCGACGCCTCTAGGCGCAGTCAACGCACCTCGTAAGAAAGTCTTCGTTTTGCTTCTCTTCCCTCTTCTTTTTCACGCTGCTCGTTGGCTTTTTGCTCTCCTTGCGCTTCGTTGCGCTGAGCTCAGGGGCGCTCTGATCAACAGCCTGCCCGTACCCCTCCAGCAATTTGCGCACCTCATCCTCCTTGTTCGCCCCAAGCGCCCCAAGTAGATGTGCCCTATACGCCTGCGAGTCGTCGTCGCCAGACTGGTGCGGTTGTGCACCGCCCTTTGTGAAGAAATCTTGCTGAGCATCATCGTCATCATCGACGTCCGCATCGTTGTGGAATGCTCGCGTCACTTCTTGTTGAAGCAGCCTCTCCTCGTCAGCCGGTGCCAACTGACCGTACTGCGCGTCATCGTCATTGGCGTGGCCGCGCGAGACTGCAGTAGTAGCATCCGCCAGAGCAGCTGCGGGATCCTCGTGCTTGATCATCAGCTCGTTGATTCGCGAGCGCTGATAGTCTGCCAGCGTAATCTTCTTGGAGGAGGAGGAGGAGGAGGAGAAGGAAGGCATGGATGTGGATG